TTATTTTTTTTTTAATTTTGGTTTCACTTATTCCTAAGCTTCAAGTACTCATCCAGCAAACTCATTAAATGACAACATCCACATTTCTTTCTTCAGCATTGACCCACATACCACAGTTCTGCTCCTAATTGTATTATATCCAGATTGTTGATAATCTCTCCTCAAAAACAAAACTGGAAACCTGAAACTTCCCAACCTAAAATTTCCACAAATGTCTTTTCAACAATTGGGCAGTTCCTATATATAATATGAAGCTAAGATAGTTTTCCCCCCAGGTAGGCCAAGCTAATACTTTTTTTTTAAGTCTTAAGGTATTATCATTATTGCATTGTCGGTTTTTGTTAAACTCTAGAAAACTCAAACTCAACTCTTTCACTATATTTCATGTTTTTGAGTAAATTTAATGAGCAGAAACAAACAAGTACACACTGTCTTGTTTCTGGTAGATGTAAGCTTCGATCTAGCACTGAAAGATTGCTTTCTGGCCTGCTGTTTCTAATGCTTACCTGTTCTCTTTACTTCCCACACTAGCACATTCTTTAACTCACTTTTCTAGTCCAAAATGATTGAGTTTATAGAGTACTGGTTTCTTATGCCACCTTAATTCTAGACAGGTTTGCTATGACACCTTTTGATATCTGTTCTAGTTTGTTGTCCTCAGCACACAGACTGTGCAACCAAACCTGCATCTAAATCCTAGATTTAGAACCTACAAAGTATGTACAGCACTTCTGACAAGTTCCTTATATGTTCTAATCTCAGATTCCTCACTCATTAAAATAAGAAAAATAATGCCTACCTTTGAAAAGGTTGACTATTAAAGTGCTTAAATATACTCAAACATTTTACAGGTAGATTTAGGCTCAGGTGGTAGGATTCTCAGTTCTCATCACAGACCTGTACCCTCAAGCTCATCCTCAATTCTGGTGGACAGCAGATAAGGTTTTCTGCTCTCTAGCTTTCATGGTCCCTGCAAAATCTAAAAGACATTGTTCTGCAAAAAGAATCCCTATCTCAGTTCTACAAGGTCCTTATCTAAATCCTAGCTCATATGTGCATATTTTGTACATATTTTTCTTGGTCTTTTCATGGGACTCACTAGTTTCCAAGTCTAGATTGTCTTGTTGGACTGTTTTTTTTTTTTATAATGTATCTGAGAAGCATTTACTTGGCTAGATGATGAGGCCACTTCACTGGGTTCTTCTTTAAGCCATCAGGAGACTATTTTTTCATCAGAGACCTGTGACTTCTTATGAAGGCCTGTTTTCCCTGATATCTTCAGAGTCAGCCCATCCATTTATAAAAACATTCCACGGTATCAAGTTATAAAAAGTAAATCAGAGAAAAACCTAGCTTCTAACCTCAGTCCTCTAACTTACAAAATATATGACTTTAACCAAGTCATTTAACCTAACAGAAACTTCATTTTTAACATGCAAAGTAGATAAATATAGAGATATAATTACTTAAAAGGTAAAGATCAAATGGAATAATGCAGCTGAATTTACCTCGAAAAAAACATTTGTATGCAATGAAAAAGGAATTATCTATTTAATCAAAGAGGTAGTACAGAGCAGGAGAGAAGATAAAGGAATCTGAAGTCAAGCTCACAGATGGAGCCCTGGATCTGTCATTTACTGGCTCTACCATTGAACCTATGAAGTGAGGATGACAGAACCTGCCCCAAATGATATTATTTCAGTGGTTCAGCCTCTATCGCTGTCATTAGACATTACTATGTGTTTGGCATCATGTCAAGTACTAACGACAAAAAGGAAATTAAGACAAGCACAACTATCTCTTGTCACTACATTTCCTAAATCATTTATTTTATATAGACTTCTTGGCAAGTAAAAACCTAAGTAGTAAAGCATTCCCTTAGAACGTCAAGACTCCATAGTTTCAGTGGTTGTTTTCCATGACAGTTGCCAGTGGACACAGTGACTCTGATGATTCTTTTCCTAATCTATCTCTTAAGCTGAAATTGTCCTGATGAGTTATAAGTAAACTGTTTAGGACATGATTCAATCAAATAAAAATGAGCTAAGAGTGTTTCTCAAGTAACATCTCAGACCATCTGCTTCTCAGTCACCTACAGTACTAGTGAAGGGGCAAATTCCTGGTCCCAACTCCAGATTTACTGATTCAAACCTCTGGCTGGAAGGTGTGGGCATCTTCATTTTTATTGTTTCCAGTGTAACTTTATGTAAATCCCACTTGAAAATGGCGAGAGAGAGAGAGAGAGAGAGAGAGAGAGAGAGAGAGAGACTCCATTATATAAGAAGTCTGCAACCAAATACTGAATGACAGAAAGCATGCAATAAAGAAAAAGTTTAATTCTCAGAATCAATTTTCACATGCCTGCCTCCTGACCTGATGAAGTCATCAAACCACAAGGATCAAGATCAAAATGGAGCTGAACATACACACTTTAACTGTGTGTGCTCAAGAAATTGCTCCTTCAGAAGAGAGCATGAGTGGAAAGGGATTCTGGAAACCTTTGCCCAAGATTTCAAAAGCAAAAACAATTGTGTGACTGCTCTATTAAAACCCAGGCTTGCTGATCTCAGAAAGCCGAACTGCTTTCTCCTAAATTCAGTGGACTACTGACTGCCTGCACCAACTCTTCACAGCTACCAGGAATATAGGGGAACCTTTCAAGTGTAAGCCTTTCCCATTGGGGACCAAGATGATTCTGTGACACCAGAACAATCAAAGGCAAGAAGGCTTGTGATCTTTTGGCCAAAGGAAACTGAAATAACCAACTAAAAGGTACATTTATGCCTCTTGGTAAGAGACAAAAATAGGGCTCACAGAGACGGAAGAGAACCACGGTGCTCCAAACTCCTAGTGGGCGTGGCCTTTCAAAACAATAACAATTCTAAGCTAATTAACAAAATATTTCTCTATGGACTACCTCTCTGTGGTTTGCGATCTTTACTGGTTTTGGTAATAAAATGTATAATTTGGGCTTTAGTTCCTGAGATGCGATAAGCTAAGCATTATACCTGCAAAAAAATCAGAAGCCCAACTCGCAAAGGCCTCCCAGCCTGCCCACACCCCTCTAGAACTGGTCTTAACAGCAGAGCGGGCGGGGCCGCATTTCTCCCGCATCACTGCGCTCCTCTCCGCCTGCGTGAACACCGCCCACCCACTCGTGTGAACCCACTGGGCCCAGCCCTCCCCTAGGCCTGGTGCTGAATCATGAGCCCAATATCTCTAAAAGGTTGGGGAAAAAAAAAAAAAAAAGAAAGAACAAAGCCACTCAAGGCTAGTTTGAATGGGGAAGTAGGGACGGCGCGGCGCAGAAAGCTGGAAACACCAACTTTGCTCCCCTTCCTCCCTGATCTTCCATTAGCCCCCAAATTAAAATGAGTATGAGGTTCTTAGGGACTCCCAAGAGGGTACCCCTTCTCCAAGGCTATTCAGATGTCTGCAACGCAGCGTCCCGGACCCGGTGCTCCACCTCATTGTTCCATCACCCGCCGAGAGCCAGCCTGCGCCAGAGCCAGCTCGCCTGAAAGCGGTTAGGGCTCCGCCCGCTCCGGAGCCCACCCTTAGCCCCCCGCAAGCAAGTCTTGGCCACCCTCCTCACCATCCTTCCAACCTATCGCTAGGGCAGAACCCCAAGAGTCCTGGAGGCGCAGGGTGGGTGCTGTCCAAATGCTGGGAGGAGGTGGCGCGGGTGGGGAAGGATCGGCAGGCCTGGCCTGCATAGGGCACAGACCTGTGACAGCGCGGTTCCCATTCCGGAGCTGGAGAAGCAGTCTCTTGCATGCTGGCACCCAGCAGCAGAAAGCACAGGGCCAGACTCGGTGCAGGCTGCACAAGCCAATGACTGCTACTCACCCCAACTGTTTCTGTCCCTGCGGCTCTTGGCCATGGTGGTCCTCGGACTGGTGGCGGCAGCCAGGCGCTGTTACTGCTCGCGGTCTTCTCCAGGGCCGCAGGTTGCCAGCAGCGGGAGGCTCTATGCCCGCCTTAGGCGCAGTTCGCTCAGACTCTGAGGATGTTGCTGTGGCGCTGGTGGGAAGAAGTGGGGAGGAATAGGGAGGAGAAAGCGGATGAACCAAGCTCAGCATCACAAGCCAGGGTTCACACAAATACCAGCGTCACACCCTCTGTACCTGCCCTCCCCCACCCCACCCCCAAGCGTGAAGACAGTGATAGACGATGTACTGCAACATTTTCTATAGTTATGGTTACACACACAAATAAACAGCACCCCCTTGCACATATGCTCACAGAATTTAAGGGGATTACCCAGTGACAGAAATACATAATGGCTGTTCAAATACATGCTGCGACATTTACCCAGAGAAGTTAAAATGATCTGTCTTCCAGGCATCTTCCTTCTTTCCATTTTAAAAGCAAGGGGCATGTTAATAAGGAGGATTTTTGTGTTTGTATACTAAGCAGGTCTGGATCTTAAACTTAGGTTAGGCTAACAAAATTTAGGTCCAAGTAAGCTAGAGATTCCCCATAATCTATAACTGGCTCAATATCTAGTGGACAGCAAATCCTACTAGGTTGCAAAGACAATCTGGAGTCACAGACTATTAGCAAATATTTGAAGTAAAACCAGGCAACATAGTCTGGGTGGTGGACAGGGTGCTTGGGCAACCATAAAGTTTTCAGACAAATTAAATAAAAAACAAAAGGCAATAATAAACACTTTCAAAATATTCTTTCTTTTCGATGTTTTCTGCTTCTCCGCCCACAAACTTCAGACTTGTCAGCATCCTAGACACACTGCCCCTTCATGTGCTTTGACCCACTACATACTTTCATCCCATTCTTCACTCCTCACTCTGCTCTCTTCCAGTGCACCTTACTAGGATGATGATTCCCCATATCCTTACATTTTGTGTTCTTTTCTCCCTCTTAAGACAGGACAGGGTCTCACTGAGACCTAGCTGATCTCAAAATCATGATCCTTCTGCCTTTGCCTCCCAAGTGCTGGGATAATAGACATGTACATTGTCTGGCAGTTTCATGCTGCATTAACGAGAGGAAATCATCACACAGAAATGAGTCTATAAGCGCTTAAGGTTATCCCACTTTGTGTCTTACTGACACTTTGAAACCAACATGTCTAAAATCAAACTCTCACTACTATCAAGTCTTTGACATTCTATATTTTAGAGTTAGTGGTTCTAATGACCCTAGAGCTGTAAACACAGTAAACAAAACTTACACAGTAAACAAAGCTTGCATTGTGGATTTAAAGGAGTGTTCAGTAGAATTGTATTCTCCAAAAGCTAATGAAACAATATAGGAAGACAGAAATTATCTCAGGCCTGTACCTATGAACCAAATTCACAAAACAACAATAACAAAAAAATAGTGTTCTGCTTTTTAGTATATACTCATATACTATGAGTTTGACCTCACATTCTAGTGAAAGTGAATCTTGAAAGTGAATTTCATTAAAATAGAGTACAGATTCTACAAAGGACAGAGGGGGGAATTTTTTTTACATTTTATTTATTTTTTATTTATTTAATAACCACATGATTAGAAGAAACATTTCATTACAGCTTCAATAACAATTTCCAGAGCAAAGATAGATTTCTTTCAAAAGTGGCTGTAAATTTTTAGGTTCACAGTTGAATTAATACAGTTATACAATATTGAACTAAGTATAAACCCTGTAAGACATAAAATTGAATGAGTTTTTACCCTTTAAAGAAGACCTCCAATTCATTTAAAAATATGCTGTTTCCTACATTTTTAATGCTACTAACAGATGTTTACACATGTGTCTTTAATATCTATGTATCTGATTATTACTAGTCACAGTCAGTTACACTCGGATACTTAGTACCTGAGTATGGATATAAAGTTATCAGGTAGATTCACTGGTAATGTTTATCACCTCTAATATTTAACATGAAGTAAATTTTTATGCTTCTTCCTCAAATATGTCATTTTCAAAAATTTATTGATTTTTGTGTGTGTATATCATGCAGAACATCCCACACAATCTTATTCATCTATATACCCACTACCCAAATGACATCCTCCCATACCCTCCCCCATTCCACACACTGGAGCCCATATACTCTGTCATCCCTGTTACTGTCCACTGTGTTATCAGCACCCCGAGCCATTCCCCAGTGCTTGTCCTTCTGCTGAATCTAGTCAGCCTATCTAGAGCTCCTTGTTTTAGGAAGATCAGCTGTTCCTCAAAGAGCAGCAATCAGTTGTCAATATTCCTTTAGATAAGACTGGGGTCTGCTGTTCATTTTCCCAGTTCTATGCTGGGTTACTTTCTGTCTAGGAGTCACTTGGGCCACCCTGGATAATAACTCAAAGGAAGGTATCTCCTGTCTCATATTGTTTCTTGTTATGTATCCTTTAGCTATTGTGCTGAATACCTTTAGTGTCAACTTGACACACCTGGGTTGAGGGAGCCTCAATTGGGGAATTGTCTCCATTGGACTGGCCTGTGGCCATGTCTGTGGGGCTTTTTCTTGATTGTTGAGTGATGTGGGAGCGCCCAGCCCACTGTGGGTGGTGCCACCTCTGGGCAGGTAGGCCTGTGTTGCATAAGAAAGCAGGCTGATCAGGGGTCAGGGAAGCAAGCCAGTAAGCAGCGTTCCTCCATGGACTGTGTTCCAGCTCCTGCTTCCAGGTTCCTGCCCTGAGTTGCTACCTTCGGCTCCCTGATGAACTGCGACCTGGTAGATGTAAACTGAATAAACCCTTTCCTCCTCAAGTTGGTATTGGTCAGAGTGTTTTGTCACAGCAGTGAAGAACAAACTAGAACAGCTATACATATGAACTCTTAAAAAATTATATTGACCCCATTAATCTTTGGTTATACTTTCCTTTTGGGTGTTTAAGACCCTACAATTGACGCAGATAAACCAATTTATTTTTACTCTTAAAGTCGTTTGAGGATCTATTCCTCAGGGGTAACAGGGGCTTCGGAGGAGCCCCTGGCTCCTTTCTTTTACCAGTTCCATCTATGTTAAGATAAGTCAAAGGTCCTGCTTGAACATGGCTGACTTCACTTGGAAGCATGGAGGAAATGTTTCCTCTGTGTTGACCCTCCTCTTTGTACACTGGACACTGGTTCAGGTTTATCTGGTGGGGTCTTCACAGCCTCCTTGATCAAGAGGACAGGTGACTCACCACAATTACAGGACATTTTGAGATGCTCATAGTCCCCTGGAACTTAGTTGACCTAGGAGGGAAAGGAGCACAAACTGTCCTCTATGCCCCTCTGTCCAAATTAGTATAGGATTCACAGTATGGCTGTTAAACATCCGAGACGGTTAGTTCCACCAGTCTAGTACTTTTAATTAGCATATGCCATGTAGAGTTTGGGCAAAGACCAAACGCTCTCAGATAAACCTTGCCTAGACATATATTACATTCTTTGATCTGGTTGTATGTATAATTTGTTAGTAGGTTGTTGTACTAATATGGTTCCCTCTGGTTTTCTAAAACTAGCTAGGCATTATTTATCTCTCACATTGTCTAAACCTTCCACCATGGTTTCCCCATTTAAGGTGCCCCCATTTTTCCCATTTCTCCGTTAATACCCATCTCCTATGGTCCCACCTCTCTTGAGCTTCTTCTTTCCCTTTATCCCCTAGGTTCCTTGTATAACCTTCCCGCCCCATCCCCTTAAAATAACCCCATTTTTATCCATATCTCCCTTGTTAACAACTGTTTTCTACTGTTCTTCTCTTTCAGATTCTTTTCCTCTATCTAGGTGGTTCCTTTTCATTATCCTGGTTCCTGTGGTTATGTCTGGATGCATACTCACTTAGCAGGATTTGGTTCTAGGATCCACATATGAGGGAGAACATATGTCATTTTTGTTTTATTTTGTTTTGTTTTGGAGCCTGTGTTACTTCACTTAGTATAACAGCTTCTAGTTCCATCCATTTACCTGCAAATTTCATGATTTCATCTTTCTTTACTGCTGAGTAAAGCTCCATCATATAAATGAACCACATTTTCATTATCCACTCATCAGTTGAGGGACACTTAGGTTGCTTCCATCTCTTAGCTTTGTGAAAAGAGCAGCAACAAACATGGATGTACAAGTGTCTCTGCACTAGGATGAGTTCTTTGGGTATATGCCGAGGAGTGGTATAACTGGGTCAAATGGTAAGTTCATTTGTAGTTTTTTAAGAGTTCTCCACACTGCTTTCCATAGGGGCTGAACCAGTTTGCAGCCCCACCAGCAGTGGATGAGTGTTCCCCTTTCCCCACATCCCCTCCAACATTTGGTATCATTTATTCTCTTGATTTTAGCCAGTCTGACTGGGGTAAAATGAAATCTTAAAGTGGGTTTAATTTGCATTTCCCTAATTATTAATGATGTTGAACACCTTTTGAGATGCTTCTTAGCCATCTTTATTTCTTCTTTTGAGAACTCTCTGTTCAGCTCCTTAGCCCGTCTTTTAATTGGGTTACTTCCTTTCTTGATTCTTTGTTTTTTGAGTTCATTATATTTTCTGTATGTTAAACCTCCATCAGAGGTGTCGTTATATTTTCTGGATGTTAAACCTCTGTCAGAGGTGTCACGGGTGAAGATTTTCTCCCATTCTGTTGGTTTTCTCTTCACTTCCTTGGTGGCTTCTTTTGATGTACAGACACTTTTTAGTTTAATAAGGTCCCATTTGTTGATTCTTGACCTTGTATCCTGGGAAGTTGATGTCCAGTTTAGAAAATCCTTTCCTACACCTGTATCTTGTAGGTTATTGCCAATGTTTTCTTTAACAGTTTCAGAGTTTCAGGCTTCACATTGAGGTCTTTGATCCATTTGGAATTTTGTGCAAGGTGAAAAAGATA